ATCATATAGTTTCGTCTCTCTCCGCAGCTGCCAGCTAAAAAAAAGCATAAAGCACGAACTCTATAGCTCTGGCGATGATCCCAGACATCTCCGTAAACTTACACTCTTGAACTGAGTGACACCGCTTTGAAACGACCCCGTGACATTAGGAGCTTGAGGCAAACATCTTCACCACTTCGCCAAGGAGTAGTACTTATTGACTGCTGTGTGAAAGAACAAAAAAATTACCCACGAAGACAACAGGTTGCCCACGTCACAAGGAGAAAATCATTCTTTGTTTACGTAATAAAAAGAAAAAAAACTGGAATACATCTCGATGATGAGGAGGTGGAGGAGAAAAATGGCAGAGGGAAACACAGACAGAAAATGCTGGAAAGTTTGACATTATGGCGTGGAAAAATATCTGTGTCAGAACTGATTGAACGTACACGAGACAGAAGGTTGTGGACTGCCATGATCACCAACGGCACACGGCATGAACTATAAGGAATCTAGTCGTCCCCATGTGGGATGCAACTTTTCGTTTTTTAAAGCCCTATCCTGGCTTTTGTTGAGGGGCCCTGAATATAGCCGGGCCATAAATATGGCCTAACGGCTGAAGTGAGTTTGTGGGACCCCTTCACGGGTGACCCTCATCCGCATGGTGGCACTTTATGTCACCTGGTGTCTATCGCTTTGTGTGATGTCCTGGTGGGGTACAACTTACACACACACATACATAAACTATAGGAAGAAGAAGAAGTAGAAATGTGGTTTTACTGGACATTTGACGTTCAGTAGTTTTTATTAACGCAGTCATCTGGTGTTGGTCATGTTATGAATACAAGGACACTGGAACATGTTGTGACCACTGTGAAGATCTAGGGACACCAAGATAAAGAAAGACAGTGCTAGATTCTGGACAGCCTTCTGTTATGGCATGGAAAGGTGTTAGGAAGGAATTAATCTATGCTATGGAAGACTGCACACTGTGGACAAGCATGTTCGCCCATGCCAGTCGACAAGGCACATGATGATGATGATGAGTTTTCCTTGCTTTTGAGAATAGTTGGAGGCTCTTGTCCTTGTCAAAATCAGCGCAACGTTGTCTGCTTCTTCTTCTTCTTCGTTTGCACTCACAAGGACAGCAGCTTACAAGTCGTGTTGTGGTTTACAGCTATGCTGCGATATGTGAGCATTTCAACCCAACACATCCAATTTTAGTAAAACCCGAAATAGTCGCCATTTACGACATGCTTAAAATAACACACAATTAAGGCCCATGGCCATGGGACCAGATAACTAGAACTCTTCTCTTCTCTTATGTCCCTTTGCTTTGTTATATATGTGGCTCGGGGTTACGAACGTGGTGCACACTACTAAACGAGTAATTGCCTAGAAAATCACACCCCGTGTGAGTTTCAATGCCTCCTTTCTTGGTGGGGAATGGGGAAAAAAGACACACCGTCTTCTAATAAGGATGTTTTAACAGGCCATTAGTTAGGGATGTGCTAAAAACGGCTGTGCTTGGCCGAAAGGCATCAATATCATAGCCTGCCTGTAAACTTCAACATTTCGTATCAACAGGCTTTTTAAAGGGCATGTTCATAATAAAAGGGAGACAACAGACAAGAAGAAAGGGGAGGCTTTTCTCCATAGGTTTATAGCTCAGACAGATTATAATGATGTAGACATCAGGAATGAGGTCAGAAAGGAGTTAGCTGGCACTTTAAAGAATGTGCATTATGAAGACATGATACAAGTGGAAGATATCAAACAAATTGTGAAAAAAGCACAAAGACACTGCACCAGGGCCGGATGGAGTCAGATATGGTCACATAAAGTCTTTGAGCGATGTAAACCTGGCAGAGATAGCCGACTCTTTTAACCAGAGCATTAAGACAGCATCAGTACCGCAGGACTGGGTGCACAGCTATCGGCTATCCTTCGACTAACGGTCGGCAATGATGGCGGCCGCAAAATATCCAGTCGAGCCACAGTCATGTGTCATGTGTTGTAAACAGTCAAAAATTGAAGTGGAAACTAATAAGGAACAAAAACTAATAAGGAGCGACAAAAATGTTATATCAAATCGACTACTCACCGATAATTGTATGCCTTTTTTATCTGGAAATTATGGCACAGACGTTCTAAATAGTGCTCGAAAATCTGCTGTTTGTGGCTGTTACGCCATTGAAACTCGGCTAAGTACGATCGGAACAAGGCGCGGCTCGTACCGCATTGTTAACACACCTTTCTTTTTTAGTAGCATCCACAGACCGGCTATCCTCCGAATAACGGGCACAAAAGATGTCGACTAAAAACAGGGCTTCACTTACTTGTCAATTTGGAACTTCCAACGACTTAATTTGCGGTTTTCCGGCGACTACTGCCACCACCGAGAGTAGGGGCTAAACTAGATGGCTAGAACTCACGAGCAAAGCTACAGGAGATGCGGAAAGCTGCTGCTCGTGGGTCCCAGCCATCTAGTTTAGCCCCATCCGATGCTCTCGTAGTGGCAAGTTTACCTCGGCGGTTTGTTCCGTTTCTCGAAAATTGTCAACAGACACTAATCCTAGTTTTGCCGCGATGTGCTCCTGACCGCAAGTGCGCAATAGACACGTGACTGTGGCTCGACTGGATATTTTGCGGCCGCCATCTTTGCCGACCTTTAGTCGGAAGATAGCCCAGCTATCTAATCCCACTACCAAAACCTTTTGAAGATCATTCTAAGCTCAGTAGCTTTAGAATCATCACCTTACAAACACATTTGGTAAGGTCTTGGAGAAAATAGTTGCTGTAAAGCTACAAGAATTTTTGGAAAGGGGGAAGTTTCTCCCAATAAGTCTGGGAAGCTACAGGCCAGGAAAAGAAACATGGGCAAATGCGGTCACTTTTGCTTCTTACGTATATAAAGGGTTTCCAGAACAGACAGGAAACTTTGGCGGTAGGACTGGATCTCGAGGATGCTTATAACAGAGTGAGATACGGCATCTTAATGACTGCACTGAAGGAGGAGGTCAGTCCATGGCTGGTGAACGGGTTTGCAGCTGTCCTGTATTCACGTCGGGGTGCTCTCCGACTGGGCCCATGGACCTCAGAAATATGCAGTTTGGCCCCATGACTGCCACAGGGATCCGCCATCTCGCCTGTGCTCTTTAACCTGTATACAAGCAAGATTGCGAGCCTAGGAACACCAGGAGTTGGACGGATACTGACTTTTGCGGATGATATACTTGCACATAGGCAGGGGAAAGAAAGGGAACAAACAGCCCGAGAGCTACAAGCGACAGGAGACAAAGTGACTGAGTGGTGTACAGAAATGAGTGCTGTCGTCCACCCGGAAAAGGCGTCTGTTGTGTTTTGTTCTCTGGACAACAGAATCGTTAAAGCTACTGTCCCAAGTCTCACGATAGATGGTAGAAACGTTAACAGAGAGAGCAAACTGAAGTATCTGGGAATTACATTTGACAGGAGCATGCCCTTAAAGGACCATGTGGAGAGTGTTGTGACGAGATGCCAAAAAGGACTTAGTGCACTTAAGACAATGGCTGCAATTGACATAGAGCAGAGAATTCTTTTCACACTATATCAGCACCTGATCCTGTAAGTTGTTGACTACGGCCTGGGACTGCTTACCGTCTCAAAAAGTAGACAAACTAGAGCGCATACAGAACGCGGCAATGCGGGTCATTCTGGGTTGCACCAGAGACACCCTAGTGATGTGTATGCGATACATCCTTGGTTTGCCGAAGGTTGCAGGTAGGCACAAGGTGCTGCAAGCGAAGTCATATCTCAGGGTAGCTGCAGACACAGACCACCCTTTGCATGAAGCTCTGGGTGCAGTTAAGGGTCAGCGGCTGATAAGAGGGAGGTCATGGATGGCTCATGCAGAAGAAACAATCAGACAGGTTTGCATTCTTGAGAACATTAGGCGAGGAGAGGAGTGGGTCAAAGTGCCACCTGAACAGTCAGGCTTGTGTAGGGTCATAATCACGCTGACCCGGGAATACAGAGACTGGCCAGCAGGTGCCACGAGGGTGGAAATTCAGCAATTAATTCAAGATAATGCTCGCTCAGAGGATTTGATCATTTACACATACGGTTCAGTGTCAAGAGGCAAAAGAAGTGCTTGGGGCTTCTTAGCAGAAGTTAATGGTCGACGTTTGGTGCAGGAGAGCCTAGCATATGATATCACAACATCCAGCTTAAGAATTGAGGTGGAGGCGGTCACTGCAGCTTTCCGCTGGCTAGAGAACACGACACACACGCATATATCGTGATTGTAACTGACTCAGAAAGCAGGCTGAGAAAGATCGGAACAGGTATGCTTCGAGTAGAGTGGCATGCTTCGCTGCGGAGGACACGGGTAAGGAGTATTGTCTGGATTTTTTCACCGGGGCCTGAAGGTATGTTGGGAAATGAACAGGCGGACAGACTGGCTGGCTCTGCACAACTTGGTGGAACACTGATGCATGATAAGGCAGACGTAGTTAGTGCCTTGTGGGAAAGCGTGTACAGTTCGGAGGAGCAGATGGATCACCACAGTCTGGTGAGCTTGATGAAGGGGGAAGTGACGAGAGGTTTTAGCAGATGCTCGAGGCTCAGAGGGAAGACAAGACGGACGTTTAATCAGAATGCTACTGGCACCATTAGTATGAGTATTCTTCGCCGGCTGCTGAAGATGGTGACGGAGCGCTTATGGGAATGCCTTGAGTACTGTGATTTTAAATGTAATGTATGTGTCCCCAAAAAATGAACACTTCACGCTCATTTATTTCAAGTTTATTGATGAATAAAACACATAAATGTAAACAAACAGTTACCTGCATTGGCCACTTAATACAATAAGTAGTATAGGCTGCAATGGCCGAAAAGTGAACACACTAAAATAAAAGGCAGTCAAACAAGGGACTTATGTACACGTATTTGGGCGGTTAGCGTGTTATGTTATCATATTTGCCACAGCAGTGCCAGTTAGGATACACATGGGACTTGATGGTGAAACAGAGGTGGATGATTTACTTCGGCAGCATTATTTTCACAAATTCTGAAAAAACAGAAATATAAAAATAGATTTCTGCACGAATTCGCAAACATACGCTGAGATAAATAGTATATACAAGCTTCCATACCTACTAACATAGGTACCTACAGACAGATAGAAAGACAAACGGACCGAACGACAGACAGACAGACGGACGGACAGACAGACAGACAGACAAACAGACAGACATGTGGGCTAATAGTAGGCTAGCAGGCAAACAGGTGGACATCTAAACATAAGTCCATGCATACATCTAGGCATACATTCATAATTTCATCCCATCATCTATCTATCAATTCATCCATTGATCCATTAATTCATCCATCCCTCCCTCTCTTTCTCCTTTCCCTGCCTCCATCGATCAATCCATCCATCCATAATCCACAATCCACACACACATACATACATACATACCTTCATACATACATACATAAATACATACATACATCCATCCATCCATCCATCCATCCATTTATCCATCCATCCATCCATCCATCCATCCATTCATCCATCCATCCATACATCCATCCATCCATCCATCCATCCATCCATCCATCCATCCATCCATCCATCCATCCATCCATCCATCCATCCATCCATACATACATACATACATACATACATACATACATACATACATACATACATACATACATACATACATACATACATACATACATACATACATACATACATACATACATACATACATACATACATACATACATACATACATACATACATACATACATACATACATACATACATACATACATACATACATAATTCATCATTGGCACCTTTCCGTCTTTCCAGACGATAGTGTTATACTGCTCTATGAGGAGGCATGAGACTCACAGCCCATGGCGATGGCGAGTGTAACTAGCAAGATCCGCCCGTGTCAAGAAAAGTCTTCCACAATGATAGCATGGGATTTCAGGACCATTGTTGTCAACATTTGTGTTTAGTCCGTTTCTTTTCAGATGCTCAGCTCTCATCCTTTCTGCAATCATTTATTCCTTCAGTCTCACTCCCTTCCTGATATGCCCTTTCCACACAACACAGTCCATGGCATTTTGTTTCCATGAGTCCGCCTGAATTATCTACATAATTACATACAAATATAATCAACACAGACGGACAAGCAGACAGACCTACACAGACAGACAAGCAGACATGCATCCATCCATCCATGCATGCATGCATCCATCCCTCCATCCATTCACCAATCCACCCATCCATATATACATTCATACACACATACACACACATACAGACAGACAGACAGACACATGTATCTACATTAGTACATACATAAATAATCAACATAGACAGACCTACACAGAAAGACAAGCAGGCAGAACTACACAGACAGACAAGCGGACAGAACTACACAGACAGACAAGCTCACACACAGACCTACACAGACAGACAAGCGGACAGAACTACACAGACAGACAAGCTCACACACAGACCTACCATCAACATCTATTTGCCCATCCCCGTCCATATCTATCTCCCGCATCATGTCCATGACCTCCTCCTTGGTGACCCGCTCTCCCAGGTTAACCATCATCTGTTGCAATTCGTCTGCCGAGATGGACCCGCTACCATCGATGTCTACAAACCTGAAGACAAACACAGTATGAGTTGAGCAGGGGTCAGTGATCAGTGGTTGCAGCTATTTCTCAGACTGTATTTCTGTACTGTACGTCAAAAACAACTAGAGTCTTTATTATACTGGGATTCTGTAGTGACCACGTCATGCGCCTCTAGAAGACTGTCAAAAAACTTCACAGCAGAGCAGCAAGTTATTATTGATTCAGCCAAAGTGCTCGAGGAAAGAAAAATGATAAACAGCAAAGTTGTTTTCCTTGGTGACTGCATGCCAGTCCTCCAGGCGACTCAGAAGGATCTACGAGACAACATGGAGAGAGAACTGACCCGCCAGCTAAACAGACGCACGGAAAACAATCAGATCATTCTCCAGTGGATCCCGGCTCACTGCGGCATGCCAGGAAATGAATTAGCAAACAGACTTGCAACAACCATTGACCATAAATAACCAATCACTTGAAAATGTAGAACATTTCACATATCTTGGCAGTGTGGGGTCCCTACTGGGAGGGACAGAGGAAGACATACAGTCACGTGTGAAAAAAGCTATAGCTGCTTTTGGAAGGATGAGGCAAATCTGGAAATCCAACAGTTACTGCCCACGAAACTCCGACTCTACAAGAGCATCATGGAGACGAACGATGACTTTATGACCTGAATGCGGCATCTTTGACATGCAGTCCAAACACACATGTCTACACAAAATTGTCTGGCCAGAGACAATCTCAAACACTAAACTACACAAACCAAGGAACAGAAAATTACCATGAAGAAAGGCTCCTCGTTATGAAATGACTTCACTGCGGCCATACCAGCTCTCAATGGAATTAGCAAAGAAGACTTGCAAGGGGTGGAAAAACAAAGTAGACGAACAATGAAAAGTGACCATTCATTGTCATGGACCACTGAAGATTGCACAGGAAAAGCACTTATCAAAGCCTCATGAAAATAACAAGAACAATTTTTTCCGTCTACGATGTCAAGGCCAGGCTGCGTGCATCCACAAAAACATAAGAGAGAACTTACAGTGAACCCACACAGTCAGATCATGTCAAACCCGACCACAGCGGCACCTGAGCAAACAGACTGCAAGGACAAAGTAGTCAACACTACCATTCATTGTCTTACGAGAAATCAGAACACTTATCAAAGGAAAATAAAGGAATTGTACAGAACAAGCTAACAGGAAACATCCACAAGGGACAATGCTGACTCAACATAAAACACAACAACAATTTTCCGTCTACGAACAGGCCACTGCAGGCTCAACTAAAACATGCATAAAATAAAGATTTTACAGTCCCCACAGTGTGTCTGTCAAACAGGACCACAGACACCTCAGCACATTCTGCAGACTTGTCCACTCTACCTACAACTTCGAAAAGACACCTGGTCTCAAAAGCAAAGTGTACAGAGCAAGCTCGGAAACCACGAGGGACCTGCTGCTGACATAGAGACAACCCACCCGATGTCTGATCTGAGCATACGAAACCGAACGCAAAGAAGAAAGAAGAAGAAGAAGAAGAAGAAGAAGAAGAAGAAGAAGAAGAAGAAGAAGAAGAAGAAGAAGAAGAAGAAGAAGAAGAAGAAGAAAAAGAAGAAGAAGAAGAAGAAGAAGAAGAAGAAGAAGAAGAAGAAGAAGAAGAAGAAGAAGAAGAAGAAGAAGAAGATCACTAGTTATGCTAGCTGAGGCTAGTGTGGGAGAAAATTTGGGTTGCGACTGAATATTTTAAAGCCTTATACCTAGTACTTGCTTTGTTCCGAATATACCAGTGTTACCTTTCCTTTGCATTGAACAAGATTGGCCAAGTGAGGAATAATGCTGAATGGTCAGCATATTATAATCATCATCACACCACCATCATCATCATCAAAGTATCCTTGTCAGTTGGCGTAGGCGTTAATGCATCTCCGCAGATCTCGGTCTCTGGTATTCTGGATCAATTCCACTAAACACATTCCTCCATGCCATTGTCTTAAGCACACAAGGCTGCTCTAAGACTACCCAGGCTGTGTGCTATAGAGAGGACTAGCAACCCTGGCTTTAGCTGCTATTTGCATGGGCTATAATTTTTATACCCGCTAGAGAGCATTGAGAATGTGGTAGACTTGGAAACCTCCATCTGTTTTGCAAATTCGCCTTTATGTGAATGTGAACATCCGAAAACCGAGCGGACACTACTCTGCCGAGACTCCGTGGAGTGGGTAAATGCAACATGAATTAACTGAGCAGTCGACACTCCTTGGGCGATATTATGGCTCACAGTAACATACATTTAACCTGTCTGTTCTAGAGCTCATTAGGACAAGACGTTTCATGAGTCGATACTTAATGCTTCGGATTAAAGATCTAGCGACTGTAAACATCAGGAAAACACTGTGAGGACAGACATACAGACACAGGGACAGAAATAGAGAAATGCCGACAGAGGAACCGACCGACCAACAGACAGACAGACAGACAGACAGACAGACAGACAGACAGACAGACAGACAGACAGACAGACAGACAGACAGACAGACAGACAGACAGACAGACAGACAGACAGACAGACAGACAGACAGACAGACAGACAGACAGACAGACAGAATACAAACACAGGGACAGAAAGAGAGAAATGCCGACAGAGGTACCGACCGACCAACAGACAGACAGGCAGATAGACAGGCAGATAGATAGATAGATAGATAGATAGATAGATAGATAGACAGACAGACAGACAGACAGACAGACAGACAGACAGACAGACAGACAGACAGACAGACAGACAGACAGACAGACAGACAGACAGACAGACAGACAGACAGACAGACAGACAGACATACAGACAGACAGACAGACAGACAGACAGACAGACAGACAGACAGACAGACAGACAGACAGACAGACAGACAGACAGACAGACAGACAGACAGACAGACAGACAGACAGACGACAGACAGACAGACAGACAGACAGACAGACAGACAGACAGACAGACAGACAGACAGACAGACAGACAGACAGACAGACAGACAGACAGACAGACAGACAGACAGACAGACAGACAGACAGACAGACAGACAGACAGACAGACAGACAGACAGACAGACAGACAGACAGACAGACAGACAGACAGACAGACAGACAGACAGACAGACAGACAGACAGACAGACAGACAGACAGACAGACAGACAGATAGATAGATAGATAGATAGATAGATAGATAGATAGATAGATAGATAGATAGATAGATAGATAGATAGATAGATAGATAGATAGATAGATAGATAGATAGATAGATAGATAGATAGATAGATAGATAGATAGATAGATAGATAGATAGATAGATAGATAGATAGATAGATAGATAGATAGATAGATAGATAGATAGATAGATAGATAGATAGATAGATAGATAGATAGATAGATAGATAGATAGATAGATAGATAGATAGATAGATAGATAGATAGATAGATAGATAGATAGATAGATAGATAGATAGATAGATAGATAGATAGATAGATAGATAGATAGATAGATAGATAGATAGATAGATAGATAGATAGATAGATAGATAGATAGATAGATAGATAGATAGATAGATAGATAGATAGATAGATAGATAGATAACAAACTGAGTGAAAACACATAAACTTACTTAAACACGTCCCTCAACTCCTCCTCTTTACTTGAGTACTTCTTCTGTCGAGCCATCATGATCGAGAACTCCTGGAAGTCGACTTTGCCATCTCCTGCACACACAAAGTACGGATTTATCATCTGCACGTTATGTTTATGTTAGAGAGCCGCCATAGTTTAGCTCCGCCTGCCGATCCGAAGGTTGAAATCAGCATCAAGTGCAATTTTATTTTCCCTTTCACGACAAGACATATTGTTTTAGTATCCAGAAGCCATGAGTTGTTAACCCTTAGGCTCGGTATTATGGATATCGCAACCTTTCGGCCTTGATTCCATTGTAAATACCGTAAAACTGGGAGAAAATGTGGCTTTTCTGCCTACCCCCGGGATTGAACCCGGACCACAAGGAGTTCGTCACCCGGTCTCCGCGCAATCTGGTTTAGCAAACTACGCTAGAGAGCCGGCCGACAAGACATATAAGTAACTAGAATGCATGTTTGCTTATTCGAGGTATATAAATATACGATGATTCTTGCTGGATTGCCCTTTTGAGAGTTATACAGCACAATTTCATACATAGCCAATCGATCTTTTACACCCTCCCCTTTCTTCCCCAGAAAAGTGGTGTAGCGGCTACACGCTCACCTGCGGATCTGAAGGTCGTGGGTTTTGGTCCTGATGAGCCGGACTGTTTTTTTTTTCTTCAAAAAAGGACCCTGACTCTAATGTTGACCCAACTTTGAGTGGGCACCAGGTATAGCCCTGGAAAGTAAAGGCGACCGGCGTGACCACAATACCCACCGAGTGCCAATTGGTCCGTAAAATAGAGGTCTAGTCCTTTGAGCCCAACACACTTTTGTTGTTTAAACTGTATCCCATGCTCAGTATAGTAACGATGATACGTTAACAAAAACAGTGGCGGCTCGTAGCTAACATTAATGTGGTTTTTTTCCAGACAAATTTTAGTCGATTTAATATTGTGTAAAAGTAATTAAACACACACACACACACACACACACACACACACACACATACATACATACATACATACTTACATACATACATACAGAAACTAAATAGAGTCGTAAAGAAAGAAGAAGAAAAGTCACTACTTATAGTCTACATTTTTACACTTTAAGTTTTATCCATTCATTTAAAAACGAAATTCATTCCTTATGTTTTGTTCTGCATTAAAAAATTTAACAAACAGCATCTGCAACACTACCCTTTCTACCTTTTTATCTGGGACATGTGAGAATATGCCCAGCCACCACACTCCATGTCGCAGTAATGTTGAAAGGTACAGTTTCATACAAGGATGCTGTAATTTCTTTTTTTTTTTTTTTAACTAGGGGATAGCTCTACTAGCTTAACTACAGTATCAAGACAGAAAAGACAATGGTACGAACATGCAAAAAAACGGTCTCTCAGAAACAATAGTACAAGGCTCACTAGAAGGATAGAGGAGAGGAGGCAGACCAAGAAAGATCTGGATACAGAACTTGGATGACTGGACAGGCCTTAGGCAGGCAACCACGAGGTCCACCGCATCGAAACGATAAGAGAATCAATGGCAACTGGTGGCCCAACGACAAGCAGTCTAACGGGATGATGATAATGAAGACATGTGCTTACTGATAATAAGATTATTGGTTACATAATGTGCAAGAGTAAAGAAAGAAAGGAGAAGAGAGCCTTCATTATATTGAATGTTATCGATAATATCCAGTGACATAAGGAAGGTTACAGTTCTGCAGTGCTTATGTACGAGGTGCTGCTGAACAAGGTACTTGGTCATACCATTAACATCCGCTTTGGCGATCATCTTCTGGAGCTCTGCTGCAGATGGATTCTGACCCACGGCTCTCATGGCTTCACCCAGCTCATTGCTTGTTATCACCCCATCTCTGTTTTTGTCAATGGCGTCGAACAGGTCTCTATATTCTATTTGGAAGAAATACACGATTAACCACTATATATATATATATATATATATACACACACACATACACATACATACATATATATGTATATGGTGCATCAAATTCAGGATTAACCAGTTATTTATATTCTGTAAGGGAAAAAAATCCTGGGGTAGGAGCCTATCCTACTACTATGCGCGTCCTCCATGTGGCGGATGGTGGAAAGGCCTCTAGATATAGAGGTTAGCCACGAATATATTGAATAAGTGGCCGTGGACCAAAACAGGTGATGGTCATTGAGAGGAGGCCAGTTAGTTGGTGGGACAGCTAACTCTATAAAATACCTCAAAACTCTACGACATGGCCATCGGCAGGTAAGAGGCGCCATAACCCCCCCCCCCCCCCCCCCCCCCCCCCCCCCCTGCTGCCTTGCAGGGTGAGTCTCTTTAGACAAAGGTTATTGGAGTCAAACCATATACAAACCGGCGGAAGGCAAGGGGAAGCCATCGCTGTACTATCCCAAGAAAATCATGCCTCAAAATAATACATATTCAGATAACGACGTGAATGGGGATTCCAATGGAATCACCTCATCCGGTAGGGAGCATCATGTTCTACGGGTGATACCCGACCGTCATCCAGCTACTGTAGAAAATAAAAATGGTAGAAACATCATGAACATTGGTACATGGAATGTCAGAACACTCGTACAAAACGGAAAGCTGGATAACATCAAGATGGAAATGAAAAGAATGAACATCAACATATTAGGAATTGGTGAAATGCGATGGCCAGGAGCAGGTGAAAAGTATTCAGATCAGTACATAATTATTTACTCGGGTGGGAAGGAATATAGTAAGGGAGTTGGTATTATTTTGGATCAAAAGGACTGTGAAGGGATTTTGGACAATATCAGATAGAGTACTATTAGTAAAACTTCGCGGCAGACCGCTTGACATCAACTTAGTACAGATTTATGCCCCAACAGCAGATAGTTCAGAGGAAGATATTGACGCATTTTATGACGAGTTAGCAAGGCTGTTGATCAATGCAAAAATTGTGAAGTAACAATGGTACTTGGAGATTTCAACGCGAAAGTAGGAAATGAAAAAGTGTACGGAATAACGGGTGGCTATGGCCTAGGAGAAAAGAATGTGAGAGGTGACAGATTAATAGCATAGGCTGAGTCGCGCAGCATGATAATAGGTAACACATGGTTTAAACACCATCCTCGAAGATTGTGGGCTTGGAAAAGTCCTGGTGATAATGTCCGCAATCAGATTGATTATATTTTGATTTCAAGAAGATTCAGGAGCAGCTTAGTTGGAGCAAAAACTAGACCATTAGCAGACTGCTTTAGTGACCATGTTCCAGTTGTAGGAAAAATTAGAATAAAACTAAAGAGCATTAGAAAAACACTACAGAACATCAAGTTAAATTTAGGAATTCTTAGAACGGATAAAGAAATTAAGGACCAGTACAATGTCACTGTACAAAACCGGTATAATGCAATGGAAATTATACAGACTATTGATGAACAGTGGGATATGTTGAGTGAGTCAATTCAGCAGACATCTAAAGGGATAATCCCACCAACCCATAGAGTTGCGAAAAAAGAAATGGATGTCAACCGAAATTCTGCAGTTGATGGATGAAAGAAGGAAGAAAAAGAATGATAAAAAAGAATACTCCAAAATACAAAAAGAAATAGTGAACATATGCAAAGTGGCTAAAGAAGCCTGGCTGAATCAAATGTGTACAGAGATTGGGGAAAACAACAGGAAAGACTCACATTCCATGTACCAAAAGATAAATATGTTAAAAGGAAAGATGACACGTAACAGCACTGGATGTTTGAAATCAAAAGATGGTGACTTATTAATGGGACATAGTAATATAATTAACAGATGGACAGAGTATATAGGGGAATTTTATGATGATAATAGACTAGATGTAGAACTGCAGACCAACAATGATGGTCCACCAATAATGACTGCAGAAGTTGAGGATGCAATACATCAAATGAAGAAAGGAAAAGCACCCGAACCAGACAACATCTCACTGGAAGAAATCGAAGCACTGGGAGATTTTGGAATTGAAATAATAACTAAACTTTGAAATGATATTTAATATAGTGGGTATATTCCAAATGACCTTTTAAAATCCATATTTATAGCTCTGCCTAAGAAACCAGGCACTATAAAATGTGAAGACCATCGCACAATAAGTCTTATGAGTCACATGACTAAGATTTTACTGAGAATAATTATGAGAAGAATAAGAAACAAAATTAAACTAGAAATCAGCGATGAACAATGTGGATTTGTAGAAGGAAAATGTACAAAAAATGCCATATACATCCTAAGGACATTGTCAGAAAGAGCTATAGAAGTAAAGACTGATTTGTACATATTCTTCATAGACTATACAAAAGCATTTGACTGTGTAAAGCATGAAGAAGTAATCAAACTGTTAGAAAAATTAAACATTGATGGGAAAGATCTACGAATAATAAAGAATATGTATTGGCAGCAAACAGCAGCTATAAGAATTAACAACTGTTTAGATACATTTCAAAGCATAAAGAGGGGCGTACGACAAGGATGTGTACTGTCACCTGATTTGTTTTCAATATACAGTGAATATGTAATGAGAGCTTTAATTGGTATGCCAGGAATTGTGGTTGGTGGGCACAATATAAACAATTTACGTTATGCTGATGACACAGTCTTGATAGCAACAAGTCAGAAAGAACTACAGGAAATGATAGACATTGTGGTGTTAGAAAGTGGAAGAATGGGCCTCAGTTTGAATAATGGGAAGACAGAAGTAATGGTGGTATCAAAGAAACGAATTATTCCTAAGTGTGTAATAAAAGTTAATGGTGTCATTTTAGGACAAGTACAGAAATATAAGTATCTGGGCACATGGATAACATCAGATGGAAGATGTATAACTGAAATAAGAAACAGAATAAGATAGACAAAAACTGCATTTTATAAAATGAAAAACATCTTGTGCAATGTATCCTTGTCATTGAGAGTTAGAAAAAGAATTCTTGCTTGCTACATACATCCAGTTTTAACATATGGCTGTGAATCCTGGACAATCGGTAGGCAGGCCAAACAATTTCTGGAGGGCTCAGAAATGTGGTTTTACAGAAGAATGCTTAGAATACCTTGGACAGCCAAAAAGAGCAACCAAGAGGTTTTGAAAGAGGCGAGAGCCCGAAAACAACTTATAACAGACATCAGAAGGAGACAGTCATCATTTTTCGGCCATGTTGTGAGAAGAGGGAAAATAGAACATGTTGTGACCACTGGAAAGATATGTGGAAGGAGAGATAGAGGAAGACAGCGAGAGAAGATGCTTGACAGTCTTGTTGCATGGCATGGAGGTGTGTCGGCACACGAATTGATACATGCTGCAGGAGATTGCAGATTATGGAGAGGCATAATCGCCCACGCCAGTCGGCAAGGCACCTGATGATGATGATGATAAAGGAAAAAATAAAGGAATAACTACTTCTATAGATTCTGTATCTACAAAATACAGAATTAACCACATCTAAATCTAACTATTTTGTGTTTGGTAAGCATAAGAATAACAGTCTCTATATTTTTACTGAAGCAAATACAGAATCATCATGTTGTCTTTACACTGTGTGAGGCAAATAACGAATTAACAAGTTGTCTACATTCTGTGTGGAACAAATACTGAATTAATAACATCTATTTTTCTCTTTACAGGGTGAATACGGGATTAGCCAGTTCTTAAATTTATTATTATTGTTGTTCTGCTTCTTCTTCTGCCTTTGAATGTCCACTACGTTCTCCTTATAAATTGGTAGTTGGCACGCAAAGTTTTCAACGGCTACGCTGCAACACCTTACTATTTCGGCGATACAAATACGATTTCCGCATACTGTTAATTTGTTGCGGTTTACAATATGCTTGTCAAAGTGTTGGCGATCTATTCCTTTCTCCTAAATATGGCGGCTTGGTACCTGCGAGGGAAAGGGTGGGTTTAAAAAACAGCGGGAGAGATTCTCGATACTATGAAATTACAGTCTCCGTTAGGTGGTGAGACAGATCATACTTTTGCTATAAACATTTTTTGTTTCGTTTTTCTCTCTAAGATTGCAGCCCGTAGGATTAACATCTTTAAAAAGTAAGAAAAGTCATATCTCAGAGTAGCTAGAGAGAAAAAACACCTCCATTATAAAGTCCTAGGTAGAGCTAAGGGTCACAGATGAAAAGAGGAAGGTCTTGGATGGCGCAAGCTGAAGACACAATTAGGCATGTGTGCAGGTTTGATAAATCTGGCTGAGCAGAGAAGTAGGTCAAGTGTCTGAGCAAGATTCAGACTAGTGTAGGATTCTAAAAACTTTGGGACGTGAGTGCAGGGACTGGCCAGCTGGTGCTGCAGAATCAGAAGTTCAACAAATGATTCATGACAATTCCAGCCCAGGTGATGTGAGATTATTCCCCTTTTATTTCTAGTCCATCGAGTGGTAATTGTCCGAACGTGTCGAATCAGTGGCAGTCTTGGAGTATGTGTTCTGCAGTATGGAACAATATTACACATGTTTACTTCTTAATTTCAAATTTTTTTTTTTCTATGAAACACTGATAAGAGCTCTTAATTCGGTGACATTCTCCAGACAGCTTATCTTTTTGTTATCATGGGAATTTAAGAATAACACCACCCCGCCCCCGCCCTCTTTTTCAGCCGCTCTTTGCCCCCTCCTTTTAATACTGCTAGCTAATCACAAAGAGAGATATTAAAGGCTCTTACACTGTTTGCTTCAATCAAACAAACGCTTACCCGAAATCTGTTCCTTTGTCAACCTGGATTCCTGTAAAATAAAGAATAAAAAAATAAGATTAAGTTCGTTGCCACAAAAGTTGTTATTCTTCACCTGGTTGCATTTATTCTTTAATCTAGCGTTAACTGTGCAGGTAAACTTGTCTCACATTCCGTGTTATTTTAAATATGTCATTTTTTAACACGACATTGGTGTGTCCCAGTATATACAAATGCAATGCTCATGCAAGAGACACGTGTAAGCCACACACTTCTTCTTCTTCTTCGCGTTCGCCAGCTGTACACTCTGGCGGAAAGTTCTGGTTGCTCGTCCACTACTGAACTGCAGTCCTGCTCCAGAACCTGAGTGTTGCGTGTGCATCAGTTTTAAAGATTTCATTCTCTTGAATACAGACTGTTGGTCCCTTGCATCTCCGGCAGATGCACTCCGACTTCAAAGGAAGCTCCCCAATTACTCGACTCTTACGACATGCTTTTGGGGAGGCAGTGGGTCTATTCTTGTTTTCCCCACAATGGGGCCCCGGAACCCACACGGTGGAGCCACACATTGAATAGAGACATTATTTTGACAGTAACATAATCACACACATACACACACATATGTGTGCGTGCGTGTGTGTGTGTGTGTGTGTGTGTTATGGGTGTTCAAGTGGATGTGTGTTGAATTTTTCAGTACTAGAGAACTTGTCATACTGTCTGACTGACTGGCGTTCAACCACAGCAGGACATCACACTGAGCGATATACACCAGGTGCCACCATTTGGACAAGTATCACCGGGGCACAGGTACCAGAAACCCCTGTTCAACCCATAGGTTGGGTTAAATTAGGGCCCCCGGAAACAGCCAGGGTGGGGCTTACAAATAACGAAAAATTGAGTCCTACATGGGGACTTTATATAACTCGCCATATGTTCACTGGTTACATTATATATGGTACCGACCTTTTTTTACTTTTCCTTTTTCGCTGTTGTCTTATGTTAACCCATTATTTTCCAATTGTTATTATAACACATTCTCCAAACCTGTATTTTTACGCTCTATCTGACTAAAATACATAGCTTTATAATATAAAAAACTTTAGCATAAACATCGCTGAATTCAACGCTATCTGGAACCGAACGAGTTTTCGATAAGTTATGAAAAGAAACGGACTATTAAACTTAGAGACTACTGGCAAACTTAGTTGGAAAAGAGCAATGAGAATACAAACAAAGTATAAAAAAAAGTTAGTTGCGTATCCTTTAGAGTACGTTGCAGATCTAACCCCAGATTGTGTTTGGCTGTTGTGGTTTTTCTAGGCAAATTTACGTTCAGTAGTTTGCCATTGCTTTCTGGATGGTCAACTTCTCAATACCGCAGTCAATATCAACGCAAGGCCTGCAGCTGGGACCGAACCCGGCATATCGGCATTATGAAGCGCGTTCGCAATGCCTAAGCCACAAACGCCGACTCAGAGGAATAAGTATCTAGATAATTTAAGTCTTGGTTTTGGAGCGACAAGAACACTGACCAGATCCATGATCTTGATGATCATGTAAGATGACGAGCTCGATCGCCTACACTTATCAGCATGGAACCCAAAGATGATTTAGTTTCGTGGGCCACATAAAGATAATTTAGTTTCTCAGGCCACATAAAGATGATTTAGTTTCATGGGCCACATAAAGATGACTTAGTTTCTTGGGCCACATAAAGATGATTTAGATTCATGGGTCACATAAAGATGAATTAGTTTCATAGGGCCACATAAAGATGATTTAGTTTCTTGGGCCAACATAAAGATGATTTAGTTTCATGGGCCACATAAAGATGATTTAGTATCTTTGGCCACATAGAGATGATTTAGTTTCTTGGGCCACATAAAGAGGATTTAGTTTTATGGGCCACATAAAGATGATTTAGTTTCATGGGTCACATTAGGATGATTTAGTTTCATGGGCCACATAAAGATGATTTAGTTTCTTTGGCCACATAAAGATAATTTAGTTTCTTGGGCCACATAAAGATGATTTAGTTTCATGGGCCACATAAAGATGACTTAGTTTCTTGGGCAACATAAAGATTATTAGGTTTCTTGGGTCACATAAAGATGATTTAGTTTCATGGGCCACATAAAGATTCTTTAGTTTCATCGGCCACATAAAGAATATTTAGTTTCTTTGGTCCCATAAAGATGATTTAGTTTCGTGGGCTACATAAACAACATTTAGTTTTTTGGGCCAAATAATGATTATTAAGTTTCTCGGGCCACAAAAAGATGATTCAGTTTCATGGGCCACATAAAGATGACCTAGTTTCTTGGGCCACATAAAGGTGATTTAGTTTCATGGGTCACATAAAGATGATTTAGTTTCATAGGCCAAAAAAAGATGATTTAGTTTCGTGGGCCACATAAAGATGATTTAGTTTATTCGGCTCTATAAAGATGATTTAGTTTCTTTGGCCACAAAAAGATAATTTAGTTTATTGGGCCACATAAAGATGATTTAGTTTCATGGGCCACATAAAGAATATTTAGTTTCTTGGGCCACATAAAGATAATTTAGTTTCTCGGGTCACATAAAGATGATTTAGTTTCATGGGCCACATAAAGATGAATTAGTTTTTTGGGCCACTTAAAGCTGATTTAGTGTCTTGGGCCACATAAAAATGATCTAGTTTCGTTAACCACATAAGGATGATTTAGTTTCTTGGGCCACATAAAGATGATTTAGTTTCGTGGGCCACATAAAGATCATTTTTTTTCGGGAAGTCTGTAGAAATAATTTACTTTCTCGAGGCGCATTCCCTATTTCGGTTCCTGTGCTACCTGATGATGGGAAACAGAATTACCTTACCCCGCCCTCACATATAAAACCCCGCCCCCAATGACCCCCCCCCCCCAATCCCCCCAAAAAAAAATCCTATACGCATTTCGTACAAAAGATGTTTCCTTCGAAGTCGTAGTGCATCTGCCTGGGAGACGCGGAACAAATAATCTACACACAAATAAGCTAGGTCCCTGAACTTGGTAAACACTCCTCCTGGAATAGGGCCACAGTCAAGAAGTGGACGAACAATCAAAACTTTGCGATTTGAGTTTAGGGCTGGTGAACGCTAAGAAGGAGAAGTAGTGAGCACATAAAGATGATTTACTTTCGCGAGGCCCATAGAAATTATTTACTTTCCTGTGGCCCATAAAGATGCTTTAGTTTCAAAAGCCCCAGGGATTTAAGACCGCATGGCTGGGAAGAAATACATAACCTTGCCGAGAATTCCAACATAGGTCTGCAAATGAAATCATAACCGCTTTTGCAACCGCCAGTTGCTTCTTGTGCCCCACATGAAAAAAAAAAAAAAACCATCCCACAGATGCAATGTACAATAATAGTACAAGCTGTGTCAGCGTTCCATCATGTTAAGATGTTCTTGACTATTGTCTTGATATCGACCTGGCTGCCGCGAGATACGAAAATAAGTGATATTGTGTATTCGTGTAGTATTGTCGCTCCATAGCCGCAAAGTTCATGTTTTATTTGTGTTTGTTATATTGTGAAGCACACTGATATACTTTTCGTTCGGATCGGTTTTAAATCTTTCCCCAAGTTTCTTCTGTGTGAATCGTTCAAAAAGTCAAATAAAACACGAAAGTTCTGAAGAGTTTCTATGAAGGAACTGTTACGTTTTGTCTCACGTTCTAAAGATGCTAGGTTCAATTTTTAAGAATCACTGGTTGCCGTCGCGAGGCTACAGATTTTCATGCATTATGTTATACTCCCAGCAGGCAACCAGCTACGATACGGAGATGTGTTACGCATATGGCGTAAAATCTCATGTAGTTAAAATGATCTTCAAGCCTGTAAAAAGGCTTTCTAAAACGTCCTTCCAAAATTGCTGCTGTTAATTTTGTAAGCTGTCGAAAAGTGATGGTTTTCCCGCCCACAGTAGTGTGCAGCAGATGTGGGGTGTTCCACAAAAGCATTCACTGGCGCCCGGGACAAAATAACTGGACAGGTTGACAACAAATTTTCCGGGCTGATGGATTTATCCGGTATTTTTACATAATATAAAAGTTAACAAGATGAAACTGAAACAGTAAAAGATTAAACTGACAGCCATCTCTTTGATTAATGACTCTTTGAAGTAAAGTAGTGTATCTCTCTCTATATATATACGATCATGATATTTGCTGGAGCTGTGGTTCACTTCACTTCTTATACACAGTATTCCCGTCAGCATTGTTCTCTTGTTTCCGAGAACGAAGTACTTGATAATTATCTGCACACACCCTAACCCCCTACCACTTTGGAGAAAAAAAAAAAAGGGGGGGGGGGGTCCTATCATTATATGCCCAATAAGCCAGTGACAGATAAAGGAACTTTTACTTACAGACAAACCTGTATTTGGGTTGTACTACCCTGGTGTGCAGTCATATATTTTATGCCCCATCTTCCCTCCGCTTCACTTGAGCATTCCTATTCGCTTACAAACTACCAACAATATGTTTATGGAATAATTTACTTAAATTTCAAACTAAACTGAAAGATTTAACATAAGATGAATATTATACACAAGAGGCGAAAGGACATGCACAGATTACAGTTTTAGGAATTATATTATTATATAAAATATATGGCAACGCAGAGGAATGGTCACAGCAGTTTAGCAGCTCTTCAAAATGTATCAAAGAAACCTCCAATTTATTTTTTTGTCTTTTTACTAGTTATTTTAGCTATATCCCCAAACCCACCCCAGACGGATTTGCTGCAGTGTGCACCTGAACATGTTGCACTGCCTATACATGGCCTGTTTACACAAGAAACCATTTGCAACAAAATTGCATTCGTTAACAGAATGAGACATTCAGAAAAATACCAGCGACCTCCCAAGCGCGAAGAGAATGGCTTGACAGCTTCACCACTCAGCCCTTTTGCGTCTACACCCGTAGGACAAACATTTGAAAAATGCTCAGTCCCGGTGCAAATTGTTGTGGAGACATTTCGTTCGTCACTAGCTAGAGGAAGAAGGAACTGTACACAACAAAAATATAT